AATCAGGGAGATCTAAAAGGCCTTGTCCCCAACTCCTGCCCTCCCAACACCCCCAGCCAAGTCCTTTTTTTTCCCTTTCTTTCTGTTTTGGTTAGAAAAAAATAAAAACCTGGCTGAGAGGGGTTCATAAGTGAAAAAATTCCATATGAAGAACAGAAAGGCACATGAATGGTGTATCAGGAAAAGTGGGGTCCAGCTTTGAAGCGACTGGGAAGGGGAGCCCCTCGGGAGAGGAAGAAGGGCCACAGCAGGCCCTCCGTGGACGTGCCTTGCCTCGATGTAGCATCACCTACTCAAGGATTTCAGCTGGTGTCCTCTCACTCAATCATCTGGCCTTTCACATACAGGAATCTTCCACCCTCTATAAAATTAAAACCCTTTTAGCTATGAGGCTGCTGAGCATCATTGTACCACAAAGGCCGACTCCCTCTTCCTGCCCTGCCAGCCACATCTCCCAGGCCAGGGCTTCAGCACCACGTGGCGAGGGAGTCTTTTCTCGGTGTAGGGAGGTTTAAGTAGTTGGGTTCCTGGTATTGGTGCCATGGGGACAGATGGGACGTTTGGTGGTGTGGCTGAATGTGATGATCATGACTGACTCTTCCTTGTGAAATGTGGGCAAGAGACAGTACATCCTTCTGGAAACAGCAGGCAGGGCTGGCACCCGGGGTTCTCTGGCTCCCTGGCACAGCAATATGGCACGTGGGAAGAGAGGCCAAGCATTTCACCACTCAGCTCTGCTCTGACGTCTGTACTGAGGACTTCGTGACACAATTGTTCCCTGGATTTTCCAGCGCCAAGAACTCCCCTGTCACTAATTATGACACCAAGTAATTTACAGCTCACGGCTCTGCCCTAATAAGGTCCGTTTCTGGGCTTTGAGTTGAATCAAGTGCTGTCACTCATGGACATAAATCCTTGCAGATGTTTTTTAAACAGAAGTTTGGTAATTACACCAGTGTCACCTTAAAATCAGGGCTCTCGAGGAGAGAAAGTGGCGCACGGCTAAACGTCAGGGGTGATCCTGCAGGACAGGCTGATCTGGATCACAGTTTTAAAACAAATTATTCGGTTCAGTTCCATCTACATCCTGAAGGCACCAAGTGGTGCCTGTTGAATGGGTAAGTGACCCAGGAAAAGGGCCTGGAAGCCCGTGAATTTAAATTGACTTGCACGTAGTAGATTCTTTACATTCATGGAAAGAGAAAGAAAAGAAGATGCAGGCATTACCCCCTGGGAATGTTATTCTAATTCAGCTGGGGCCATTCGACGGTTGTTATTTGAGTGCCCACTGGATGGCTGTTGTCTGAATCGCATGTTTATGAAACTGTTAACGAGTATTTGTAATACAAAAGGATGAGTTTACTTTTTTAAAAAAAGCTACGTGATGTGGCTTTAAGAGTCACATGACAGGATGGCATCTGTTACTCACTGGAGCGCTATAACTGGATTTCCATCAACTCTAAATCATTCCGTTGCTAATTCTCTAGTTCTTTCTTTCCTTCTGGTGGCCTCTCTTTGGTCATGTCACTGCCTGTTGACACCTCTAGTGAGGAGAAGTCAAGGAGAATGACAGGAGCCAGGTCATGGTCCTTGAAGCTGGTGCAGAGCAGAGAGGTAGCAGGAGGCGGCTAAGGTTGTGGTCCCGGGGAAGCTTCCTGGAGAGGCCACCCATGTGCCTCCATCTTCCCTCAATTAATAACCGAGAATGAATCAATCATATACCCTTGTTGCTACCACTGGACCTCAGGACACACCAACTGAACCTGGGAGACACTTTACATACTTTTAGGTGACTTCCTAGACCAGTGATCTCTTTATTATTATTATTTAAAAAAAATTATTTATTTATTTGGTTGCACCGGTCTTAGTTGTGGCAGGTGGGCTCCTCAGTTGTGGCATGTGAACTCAAAGTTGCGTCACGCATGTGGGATCTAGTTCCCGGACCAGGGATCAAACCTGGGCCCTCTGCACTGGGAGCGTGGAGTCTTAACCACTGTGCCCCCAGGGAAGTCCCCCCAGTGATCTCTTAACGGACATATTTTTATTGTTCCGATGAAGAGACAATGCCTGTTTTTGCTTTTCAAGCTTGAAGAACCTTCCCACGACCTTCTCAGTTCAGCGGTTAAGCGGCTGTTTGAGTTGCATGTTTCTCTTACTGTCCCAAATCAATTGGGACACGTGGCAACTGGAAGACATCTCTCTCTCTCTATATATGATGGATATGAAAGAGTGCTTTTTTATTCTATTGTATCTTTATCCATAAAGGGAGAAACACTGTATTGTAGCTGCCAGCCAGAAAAATTACACACATTGCTAATGGGAAGAACGAATGATAACAGCCTCTTGGTTGATACAGATAGGGACAAGATTACATTAGCTGCAGTCCCAGCAGACTGAGAAACATTTCCTCTTGTAAACAGTCCAAGGCACTGCAGGTAGAAGTACGACCATTTAGTTGTTGCTGTTTCAGACTTATAGCTTTCTGATCCGTACACTGGGAAATTCCTTACATTTTAATTTCCCGTACATGTGTGTGTTTAAACACCATATGCCCTTGATACATTTGATGCTTTGGGCACCTTCCTGTCAAATGCACGTGTGTTTGATCATGTTGTAGATTATGACTGCTTCTCCTTCTTTCTTTTTTTTTTTTTTTTTTTTGCTCCCTGAGTCCAGATCTTTTATAATACCTGCAACTTTCTTTTTCCTTTTAAATTTATTTTTTATTGGGCTTCCCTGGTGGCGCAGCGGTTGAGAGTCCGCCTGCCGATGCAGGAGACACGGGTTCGTGCCCCGGTCAGGGAAGATCCCACATGCCACGGAGCGGCTGGGCCCGTGAGCCATGGCCGCTGAGCGTGCGCGTCCGGAGCCTGTGCTCCGCAACGGGAGAGGCCACGACAGTGAGAGGACCGCGTACCGCAAAAAAAAAAAAAAAAATTATTTTTTATAGAAGTATAGTTGATTTACAGTGTTGTGTTAATTTCTGCTGTACAGCACAGTGCCTCAGTTATACATATATATATACATACATATACACATTCTTATTTATATTCTTTTCCATTATGGTTTATCTCAGGACATTGAATACAGTCCCCTGTGCTCTATAGTAGGACCTTGTTGTTTATCCATTCTATACATAATAGTTTGCATCTACTAACCCCAAACTCCCAGTCCATCCCTCCCCTTCTGCAAGCTTCTTGAGATGAATAAGGGCAGTTTTGGGACTGGTAAAAATGACAGGTGGGCTTTGAATGATGTCTAAAGCCCCGTTTCCATTCTTATAAAGACCTGATTTGTCATATAAGTATGATTGTTTTTAATTCCTCAAAGAACTGGGTTGCAATGTGAACAATATGGAGGCTGACCCATCCATATAACTACTTTGTCTTCAATTTGCTTCTTAATATTAGGACGAGCGTCTTTAGTTAAGATGAAAATCAAAAGATTCCTTTATCGTCTGAATGCAAATTTCCACACTGTCATTAAACAAGATTCTAATCTCCTGTTTTTGCAAACGGTTAAAGCTCCCTTGAACAATTTATACCACCAAACCCTAATTATATATGGAGTTGACTGCCTGATTGTACTCCCATTACACGCCCCCCACCCCGGGGATTAATTACCACCTCCCTTGATGCCCAGGGCAGCGGGTGAGGAGGGGAAGGGGAGGTGCTGAGGGTCGGGAGAGAGCGTGCTTGGGGTTGAGTGCAGCTGCGGCAGCCACGGGAAGAGGAGAAAAACACACGTCCTCCTGGGCCACCCTTACACTTTCGTAAAACCAATTATCTGGGAACGTGTTCAATAAAGAAACAAAAAAATGTGGATTTGGCTTTGAACCCTCAAAGTCTGTGCCCTAAGTAGCTTAATGAAGTCCAAGCAGGGCTTGAGGGCTACAACTCGGTATTCTTGTTTCTTGGAGGTGAACCAACTGACTGTGCCTATACTCTGGGTGAAGTTAGGATTGGAAAGTAGGATGAGAGGGAGATGAGGGTGGAAGAGTCATCACCACCGCGCCGAGCTTTCACTTCTCAGGTGGTCACGCTCAGGAGAGACCATCTCACTGGATCTCAGAAGAGCCTGTCATGACAATCACTTTTTCTGATTAGGAAGCTGGGACTCAGAGACATTTAGCACCATTTTATTTTCTGACTTTGGGTGAGGGTCGTGGCTTACACTCTGTCCCCTCAGCCAGACTGTCAGCAGTCAGAGAGCAGGGTGTTCTCTCACTGTTGCCCGCTGCTCCACGCCAGGATTTAAGGGCGTGCCTCAAACATACACACACTGCACGCTTGGTGAACAGCTCAAATTGAAAGGAGGATTCAAGCCGAACTCTTGAAACCATACCTGCTGACTTCCAGGCTTGTCCTTGACACATATTTTTTCCCCAAGAGCCTAAATAATTTTCAGTATCATTTTATCATTTCCCATTTGTCATTTTCAGCATCTCCAGAGCATTCCAGGATGTTACATTTATTCCTTTTCTTTTGTTTCTCCTCCTCTTAAATCAGTGCCGGGAACGGAACTAATACTTGGGTTTCAGTGCTAGGACTGGGAGATGGATGACAGGATATTTTCTCCTGTATAAGAACTGTTTACACTTTTATAAAGACTACAGCATTTTAGAGAAAAAAAAGCTTTCAGGAGTGAATCACTATTATACTTTGCCTGCTATAATTTACAAAAACAAAAAATGCGTCTCTTTCTGGTCGCATACAACCCCAAATGCGGGCTTAGAAATATGACTCATTGATGTCATTTAGCTTAGTTTTCTGACATCCTGGATGAAGCCCTGTTAGCCCTGGTTGTTCTATTCACTCAGAAGTCCCCCAGGACTCAGGGGTACACCTGGAGTGAAGCTGCAATTCCCTTCGAGAGGGTGACATTTAACAGATGAGATCACATGACAGAAATGGCCACTCTGTGAATCAGACGCATATTAAACCATCTCCCTGCTCCCACTGATCTGGCCCTCACCGTACCAACCAAGGGTCCACACTTACATGTCATCGAAGATGAGTTTCTGCCTCTTGCAGTCCCTGTGGCCGTTGGAGCCTGGAGACCATGGCTCTGTCTGTGGCCGTGACTTGTGGAGAACGTTTTCGGAATTGCTGTGAGCCGCTTTCTAAACAACAAACAAACACACCTGTATTTGAGAAACTGGCCACCTGGCTGAAGGAGCAACCTGTTAGGATCGCTTGTGTTCTGTGTTCTAGGTTAGAGCTGATGGTGCTTTCCTTGTTGAAATAAAGAAGAAGAAATACTTGCATTACAGGTCTCAAGCTGGAGGCTTTTACATACGTGGTCAAATGTCATTCCCGGGCCATCAAAAGGGCACTCTCTTGGGCTTCCCTGGTGGCACAGTGGTTGAGAGTCCGCCTGCCGATGCAGGGGACGCAGGTTCGTGCCCCGGTCCGGGAAGATCCCACATGCCGCGGAGCGGCTGGGCCCGTGAGCCATGGCCACGCGTCCGGAGCCTGTGCTCCGCAACGGGAGGGGCCACAGCAGTGAGAAGCCCGCGTACCGCAAAAAAAAAAAAAAAAAAAAAAAAGGGCACTCTCAGTGTGCCCACTCACGCAGATCCAGATCTTGAACTTGCCCAAGCTCAGATGGCTATTGTGGGTGGAGGCTGGGGGCTTAGGATTCAGGCTCCTACGCTTCCCAGTTGGCTAGACCCATGGTTCTCCAAATTGACTGCATCAGGATCATCATTAACACGCAGCCAGCTGGGCCTCACCGCCAGCATCTCTGACTCAGTACGTCTGGGGAAGAACCTGACAACATGCCTTGCTAACAAGTTCCAGGTGATGCTGGTCCAGGAGCCAAGCTCTCAGAACCACTGAGCTATAATCATCCCTCACAAAAGAGGTCATTCAGGTCACAATTGACTGGTTCTCATCAGCTGTCTGTGAAGAACAGGGAGAGCCAAAGGGAATCACTAGAAATTATTTAAGATGTGTTTTAAGGAGGAACACTCTTGATCTGGGGAAAAATGGAAACATCCTTTTTCCTGGAGATACGGACATTATAGAGAGCGCCTACTGTGTGCTGACGGTCTGGATAATAAAACACCCCTTTTTTAGTTAGGAGATTCAAATGGATTCCTCTGAAGTAATTAAAGTGGAGTGTATATCAATGCTTCTCTAAATATGGACCGATTTTATGCGTATATCAAGCCTCTTTGTTACGAGAGCCTCCAGGACTCTGGGCGTTTCCTTTCTGGCATGCAGGGTAGTAAATTACAGATGTGTGTGAGCCCTGCTCTAAGTGGCTCTCCCCAGCTAGACTGTAAGCTATCCTGCAGGCAGAGACTGAACCCTTTAGATCATCAGTGCGTCTCTGTTATGTAGCAAAGTGCCTGGGACACAATAAATACTTCCTTGATAAACACCTGTTCAGTGAAAGAATGCCTCAATAAAGTCTATCATTGTTTTGTGATTCTCTGCATATCATAGTTGCTTGTGATTGAAGGATCTAGAGGCAAAGAAAAGTTGTGTTTGGTTTAAAATTGGAATCGTTAGCTTTTTATTTGTTTTTTCTAATATGGTCTTCTCAGATTCGTGTATCCTAGAACCAAAGATAATTGCTCCCAAATGAGGGTGCATAAAGGAGTTAATTTCCTGATGCTTCAGTAAGATTTAGGCTCTTCCCGGATCATCTACCAACTTTTTTTGCCTCTTTAATTCATGGGATAAAGCATGACATGCTGCCTCCCGCCACTTTCTTTGCAGAGTCCTATTGCCAAGCCTCATTTCTCCCTGCCTCACAAAGCCCCACTGGTTTTGAGAGGCACAGCGGGGAGAGTTTGGAATTAAATAATGAACCTGGAGGATGCACGGGGAATGCGGGGTGTTGGAATCACCCTTGACAAAGTCACTGGAAGAGGGGTGGTGGCAGCTGTCCCACCCTGGTCACCACACTGGTCACTGAGGGCAGCAGGGAGCCCTGCAACTTTGGCCTTGGGCTCCAATCCCGGATTTAGCTCTGCCCCAGGGCAAGAAATCTTTTCAAATAGAAAGACTGGTTGGTCCAAAACTCCCAATTTACTTTGTCCTGGGAGAGTTACGTTAGGGCTAATTCTTTTCAGGATGGGAAATGAAGTCCTCCAAAGAGCGTTCCTAAGCAGAAGAGGCTTAAAATGCCTCCTCCGTTTCTTCGGCAGCTGCCTGTGCAAGAGGTGAAGAGAAGCTGCTTTGCCAGGTCTTCCCAGACCAGCGTTTAGGGCTGCTTTGCGGGACCTCACTGGTCACCACGTATCAATGTAATCTTCCTCGACCAGGACAGGCACCCATTGGTAATCCACCCGTTGGACCAAATGGAGGTATGATGCCACCGCAGCCAGGCATCCCACAGCAACAAAGAACGAGACCCCCAATGCCACCTCATGGTCAGTACGGTGGTCATCCTCAAGACGTGCCAGGTTACCTTCCTGGTGCTACGCTGCCATGCGGGCAGGGACCGCCAGTGGGGCCCCCTTACCAAAGTGGGTCTCCTCGACCTCCTGCAATGTCGCCAGGTGGCTGTTACTGATCTTAGGTCATCCAGTCTAATACGTTTGGAGATTAAACCTTTTCTCAACTTGCGCTGTTTATACAGCCAAGCTTTCTGTCAATAAGGCCTCCTTGTGACTTGAACAAACATTATCCTCCCACATACCAGAAACTATCGGACCTTTATTTTACCTGGGAAAAATTATTTGGAATAATAAAGCAGGAAGCTTTTCCTGAAGTTGCAAGTTAAAAAAAAAAAAAAAAAAAAAGCTTGTGTTCGGACTGTGCTGGGCTAGAGGCAGAGTAGAGGGGCGTGTGCTCATTTTCACTCTTGTTTTAACTGGGGCAGAAGAGCATCAACATACCGTGAGGTCTCCACCATGGGTCTGCAGCTGGTTCTCAGCCTTATGCTTTTTGTTGGACGAGGCGGAGGTGAACAAACCATTGCTGTTGGATCTGCTGGGGGAAGTCAGGTCCTCGCCGGGGTATCTGTGTTTAGATGCGTCAGAGAGGGGCGAGGTGGGTGATCGGAGCATTTTTTCATTTTTATTTATTGGGATTGCCAAGCTGGAAAAGGAAATCACAGTAATGGAATGTCACACACTCAGCACGTGGCAAGGTAAATGTTTTATATGTGACCCTCCCATTTAAAACCTGCTGGTAGGAAGATGTTTATTGGGAATTATTATGCCAGGAAACGATTTTATGGCATTAGGGCAGTAAAGAACAATAAAGAAATTTCATTCATGGTTTCTTTACTCGTCCTCCCAGAAGAAAATAGTAATCTGGAGTTAAATAACTAAGCATAATAATACCTTCATTTCCCAAGTTCTTCATCCAAGGATCTCAAAATACATGACAAACAACTTACTGTTTTCCTAACAAGTGTAAACAGCAGGTAACGGGAAACTCAAATTATACACAAGATCTCCACTTCCAAAACGACTTTTGCTAACACCTGAGCTTGTACTAATTATTATATGGAGAATAACAGAATCACAGAATAACCAAGCACGAACCCACCTTCTAACTGTTAGGTAGCCAGGCATGGATCAGAATAAACAAAGAATAGAAAACTGTCATTAGAAATGACATTTTCTGATTCCTAGCTCCTTATTTTACCTTCCAAACTATTGTCTATGCCTGAATATAAATCGCCCCACACCCCGCCAAAGACCACCAGAGAAGGGAGTCATATTTGAGTCTTTGCAATGTATATTATGTAGATAGGGCTCTCTCCGTTACTTTACTTTGAAACAAAAACTGGGGGAAGACACAGCCTCAAATAAACTCAATCATTGCTAATTTGGGATGCTTCTAGAAGTCACCTGGTAGAGTCAATTAAAATAAATTCATTTAACAAAGATTTAGTCATTATTCCCGCAGTTGTGACTTGTTAATTGCGTGTGTTGACTATCACTGCAAACAAGCCAGTAAAGTCACTTTTTATTTTTAAGCAGTTTCCTTAGTTGGTGGTCACAGTGTAGAAATTACAAACACAGGCCTCTAGAACAAATGAGAAGCCAAGGTTCTTAATGTTATGCAAACAGATCTGTGTAGGGAGAGAATTTCTGATGACAGCTTTCTGGTTCAAAAAGTACTGTGCATCCAACAACTTAGAAGTGAGAAGGTGTGCTCTCGAAAACTGCCTTGGACGAGTCAAAAGTGGCTCAGCCAGTGAAGATGAAAACACTGATGTTGAAGACCGATATGAACCGTCTGAATATAACTGTTTCTTGACATGTGAGTGAAAAAGTCTTATTTCTAAGTCTCAATTATTTTACATACTACATGATTTTAAATGTTGGCAGAAAACTAAATTATTACATTAAATATTGTCATGAACAGATGACCATTTCTTCTTCATTATTGTAAGTTTATCTATTCAAGTTGACCAAAGTAACTTTGAAACGTTCTTGGGATCACATCTTTGGGATGGGCAATCACCATATATGAAGGATTGTCTTATTACACAGGTAAAGCTTAACAGTGGTAATCACAATCCCAGAGGCACACAGGCCACCTTCCCAAGAAAAACCCAAAGCACTTTCATATGCATTGAGTCCTTACTTAACATAAGTGAAACTATCAGAGCCAGGAGGCTCTGCCAGCAAAAGCTCTAGAGCAAGAGCTTTTATCCTGGGGTCCCTGCACGTGCATGAAAAAGAAGTTGCATCTTCACTTTCCTTAACCTCCTCACTGACACTGAACATTTCCTTTAATTATGAACAAAGGCAAGAAACCAGAGTAGTGGTTTAGCAGGAGTACTACCAGCAAGACTTGTGATTGTGTCACCAGTGGAAACCACAGATATTTTCATGCCTTATCAGTTGTTGCAGACATCCTGAAATATGGTTTACACTCATCACTACTAGAAATTACAGTCATTACTAGATCTGCTAGAAAGGTTACTTAAGGCATGAACAAAGAAGCACATATATAACTCTATCACACATTTAAAAAGACATTTTTGAGGGCTTCCCTGGTGGCGCAGTGGTTGAGAGTCCGCCTGCTGATGCAGGGGACATGGGTTCGTGCCCCGGTCCGGGAAGATCCCATATGCCGTGGAGCGGCTGGGCCCGGGAGCCATGGCCGCTGAGCCTGCGCGTCCGGAGCCTGTGCTCCGCAACGGGAGAGGCCACAGCAGTGAGAGGCCCACGTACGGCAAAAAAAAAAAAAAGAAAAAAAAAAATTTGAGCCGTATCTTCCCCATTCACATCTCCTCAATATTTTGGGATACCCTCTGCTTGGCCCAGAGGACTGTGGGCTCAGGCAGCTTGTGTGTGTTGCTGTTTCTCGCTCAGACCTTCAAGGGCTCTCACTCTTCCCAAGGTGATTCTAACACTGCAGCGGGCCTGTGCTCAGGGGCCCTCGCTCTCCAATTTCCTCTCCGGGTTTTAGCACTATTCGACACCTTCTCCTAACCTTTCAGTTTACATTTTTATGTGTTGCGCTGAAACATTAATCTCCCCTTAAAAATTCTAGGTACACAGTCAGGGAGCGAGGAGTGTCTTAGCAGAGGATAAAGTGGTTTCTGAGCTGTGCTATTTCTAAATGGAAAGGACTTCTATGACTGATGATAAGCTGCTCACTTATAATAAATATCTGGGACTCTTGCTTTGCTAGGAAGCCTTTGTCACAGAGGGGATTCAGTGCCATGTGGGTCTCTCTGGAACCCCTTGAGAGGAGGGACTGGGTGGCTGTTTCGCCTTGGAGACCCGGATCCTGTCTGTCACCGCAAATTCAGTCTACACCCAACGCCTTTAGGTCTGTCATATGGAGATTCTGCTCAAGTTTACACTTTTCATTGGTGTAATAAGCTTAGTGTTCTCACGGGTTTACTGGCTATTAATTCAGTTTGTAAGTTTTCAGAGTGGAGGGTGTGTTTTTGAAAGGATAGAACTGTGTGCAACTAGTAACTGGTCTTTTGTTATAAAGAAGTATTTCCAGCGCACCTGGAGCTGTGACAAGAAGCACACGTCCAGGCATACTGGTTAGTCTTGGGTTAAACCAAGGGAAAGGAGTCTGCATGAGACAGGCTGGGACCTGGGACCCTCTGCTGCAGTGCTTGCACCTGGACAAACATCTCCTTGAGCCACAAAATACAAAGAAAATACAAGGGACTAAAAATAACTGCATGCAGGGGCAGTTGGAACAAATTGTGAACGAGATACAAAAAAGACCAAAAACCCAACTGCCACTTCTGAGGAGTCCAGAGCAAAAAAGCAGGGTGTCAGGAGCAAAAGTAGGTTACTGCACACACCCCCTGCACTCAGCGCCAGCAAGGGGGTGAGCAGACCTCCTAAGCCACCCCTCCAGCCTGGCCCCATCCTACCCTCACCCCATTTAAGCAATCAGCTGGACCCACCCTAGGAAGCAATCAGACCCCTGGCCCCACCCTACCCTCACCCCATTTAAGGAATCAGCTGGACCCACCCTAGGAAGCAATCAGACCCCTGGCCCCACCCTACCCTCACCCCATTTAAGCAATCAGCTTGCCCCCCATCAGACAGTGCGCAAGGGAATCTGTTACTTGTCTTTGTTCCCTCCTGCTACAGCATGCGCCCCAGTAAAGCCTTGTCTGAATTTCCTGTCTGGCCTCTTATCAATTTCTACTGATTCAGGAGCCCAAGAGGCTTGGCAGGCAACATGGAGACCCAGAGTAGAGCAGTCATTCAAAAATCCGACTCTCCCCAGCAGTCATGTGCCTCTCAGACCCAGACACGCCTCCAGCTCCCTCTGCCTTCCTGGGAGCGTGAGTACCTGTTGACGTTCACGTTGCAATGGTTTGCGGACAAAGTGCTGCTGGCGGAGGCAGCGAGTCGTGAAGAGCTCTCCTTCTCTCCCTGAGCCTTCCTGATCTCCCGGCAGTCATCTTCGCTGTCACACTGCGTGGAAAGAAGCAAAAGCCAGTCAGCTGTAGATTTCAAGGGATCACAGCGAGCTCCCATCACCAACCAGCTCAGCTGGGCTTCTCTGGACAACATCCTGAGCACCAATGTGGCTGCAGCACTCTCGGCCCTGGCCTGGGCTCCCCATCAGCTACTCCGTGAACAAGGAAGAAATCTGTCAGCTTACTGAGAGGAAAAAGCATGGCACGAAGATCAAAATACAGGAGGGACCACTGAACACTCCTTTACCAACAGGCAGACTTCACCCTCCAAAGAAGACCTGTTCTGGAGTCCCACTGGAGCTTCAGCATCCCTCCCTTTGGCATTTCTTGGTACCCAAACAAGGCATAGCGACCTATCCTGGGCTTAATGTTGTAAGGGCAGTGACAAGCTTGGACCTTTCTTTTGAAATTCATGGCCTCAGAGGACATTTTTATAGAACAGTAGTTTGACTGGATTCTTGTTTTCCACGACTGTATTTAACCTAGGCGTGTACTAGGGTATGATGCACATGCCCTCAACCAAATTCCATTTTTGGTGAGATCGCAGCAACACAGTACAGGCACGTTCAGGGCTCTCAGCAGAGCTTTCCAGGAGACAAGCACCGGCACCAAAGATAGAGAAATTTTGACCTTCTCTCTCCAGCTGGAATTGTTACACAGCCTCTATTGCAAGGACCCCAGCAGCTCACGCTGACACTGTGCCCCAATGAGGGTCCAAGCCAAAGCTCTGAACCCCCAGTTCTGGCCTCCAGGGCTCTGGCAGGGCTAGACTCTACACCCTGGGCAGCCAGGTCTGCGGTGTCCCACCATCTCCAGCACCCAAAACTGAGGGCTTCACACCCCAGATACTGAGTAAAGAGTGCTGTGAGAATGTTCTTTCACGTCTCTGTGTGAGTTTAATGATGATTCAGTAGATTTCATGAGGAGAGCTGAGTGTGAGGCTTACTGTAAATGAAGTTTTGTAAGTTAAAATTAAAAAGCCCATGAATCATAAAATTATTTAAATACAGAATACTATGGAATATACATGTATATGTTTTTGCACATCTCTCTATCTACATATACCTATACAGCTATATGTATTTCCAATCTATCTGTATGTTTATCAATTTCTATCTCTGAAATGCCCCTCTCTCTCTCTTTCCATCAGCCTGTCCATTTATCCATCCATCTCCAGATGACTGGCTGATTCACTCATTAATCAATTAATCACCTGGGGACTGATGGACAAATCAATCCAACGAGTAAGGGGGAGGGCAGGGTATGAGAGGAAAACAGAAGGAAAGACGGTAGGTGTGTAGTGAGCTAACCCGCATTATTGCATTATATCATGTGAATCTGACAACACCCCTGCAAAGATGTCACCATTTTACAAACAAAGAAACTGAAGTCCACAGAAGGGAAGGTCACCCAGGAGGCCAGGGCTGACTGCGTGATTTGCGGGGTTCAGTGCAAAATGAAAATGCTGGGAGCCTTGTTCAAAAAGCAGGAAAAGATGCTTGATGTCAGTCTTGGTGATGATTTTTTTGGATTTAACACCAAAAACAAAGGCAACTAAAGCAAAAAATAAACAAGTGGGACTACATTAAACTGAAAGGCCTCTGCACAGCAAAGGGAACCATCAACAAAATGAAAAAGCAACCTACTGAATCGGAGAAAATATTTCTAAATCGTATATCCGACAAGGGATTAATACCCAAAATATATAAAGAACTCATACAATTCAACAGCAAAGAAACAAACAAAATAATCCAGTTGAAAAATGGGCAGAGGATCTGATTAGACATTTTCTAAAGAAGACATACGGATGGCCAACAGGTACATGAAAAGATGCTCATCATCAGAGAAATGCAAATCAAAACCATAAGGAGATAGCACCTCATACCTTTCAGGATGGCTATTATCAAAATAACTAAAACTAATAAGCCTGTGAGGATGTGGACCAAAGGGAACCCTTGTGCACTGTTGGTGGGAATGTAAATTGCTGCAGCCACTGTGGAAACAGGATGGAGGTTGCTCAAAAAATTCAAATAGAACTACCACATGATCCAGCAATCCCACTTCTGGGTATTTATCCAAAGAAAACGAAAACACTCATTTGAAAACATATCTGCACCCCCATGTTCACTGCAGCGTTATTTACAACGGCCAAGACGAGGAAGCCAATGTCCACAGCTAGACAGATGGAAAAGGGTACTGTGGCATATATGTGCGTACAACAGAAGAAAGAAGCCTGCCGTTTGCAACAACACGGATGGACCCAGAGGGGATTATGATAAGTGAAATCAGTCGGACAGAGAAAGACAAATACCTTACGACCTCACTGACATGCGGAATCTAAAAACAGAAACCAAACCTCCTCCCAGCTTATGCTGTCAGACTGCTGACTGCCTGGGGTTGGGGGGAGTACAAAATGGATGAACGAGGTCAAAAGGTACAAATTTCTGGTTATAAAATGAGTAAGTCATGGGGACGTAATGTAATGTACAGCATGGTGACTATAGTTAATAATACTGTAGTGCACATTTGACAGTAGCTAGGAGAGGAGACCTTGAAAGTTCTCACCAGGAGGAAAAGAAATTTGTAACTATGGATACTGATGGATGTTAACTGGACTTACTGTGGTCATCATTTTGCAATACTTATAAACCAATATCAAATCATTATATTATACCTCAAAAAAAAAAAAAAAAGAAAGCAGCTAAAGAGTAACATTATAAAGTATTATAAAGTCGGAAACATTTTCTTGTCTTTCGTGTCTTTCAAAGTCTCTCTCTTGATCTGTCATGGTGTGTTTATTTGCTATTTCATATTGTGCTCCTTGAGGCATGGGGATACCTGGGGGGCATGTGCAGACACTCCCAAGTACTGGGGGCCTGGGCCTGCGACAGGGCGCTTGTGCGCAGCCCACCAGTGAAGGGTTTCCCCCGCCAGCCAGTTGTGGAACCCATGGGTCAAGGGGTGAGGAAGTCCAGTTAGGCATTTCCCCTTCCCCAAGGCCAACTGGCAACCCTTTGCGGATTGGATTGCAATCTCCCCTGGAGGACCCCTCAGTACTGGGATTGGGGGTGGGGAGATGCCCATCCTGACCCCGACCCTCATTAGGCCTGTGCCTTGGCCCCTGGATGGGGATGCAGATGGGGATGCTGCACAGGGCTAGGAGTGCAAAGGGGCCACGGGGCAGGCAGAACCTGTCCTGGGAAATGGGCAGGAGGCGGGACCGCGCAGGCTCTATCGTCCCATCGCACTTCACTTACTAAACACAAATTCCAAAATAAAATGAAGAATTCCAAGATGGCAACTGCAAGCATTAAACTCCAAGTACAGAGCCCTCTGAGCAGGGGCCCTGTGGGGAAAATACTGCACAAACCACATGCTGACTTCTTATTGGGAGACCCTGGAGCCACAGACCCGGGCTTCATTCCTGGCTCTGCCCTTTCTCACCTATGTGAACCTGGGGCAAGTCCCTTTAGGCACTCTGAGCCTCAGTTTCCTCGTCTGTAAAACGGGCATGACAATAATATTTGCTTCAAAAAGTTGTAAGGACTTTACAAACGATTTAATATGTACAAAAACAGCATCCCTCATGGGGACATATATATGTGTTAACTGCTGTGAATGATTTTCTCCTAAATTTGGGACCATCCACGATGACTACAATCTTTGGCTTGTCACGCATTGTGTTTTCCACTGTGGTCCAAGTTACTTTTTTCTTTTTTTTTTTTTTTCTTGCGTTATGCGGGCCTCTCACTGTTGTGGCCTCTCCCATTTGCGGAGCACAGGCTCCGGACGCGCAGGCTCAGTGGCCATGGCTCACGGGCCCAGCCGCTCCGCGGCATGTGGGATCTTCCCGAAACGGGGCACGAACCCGCGTCTCCTGCATCGGCAGGCGGACTCTCAAGCACTGCGCCACCAGGGAAGCCCCCCAAGTTACTTTTGAAGATGTAGTAACAGGAGGGAATAAAAATCCTCAAAATTGGTTTAAAATTATGATTAAATTATTCCTGTGCTCAAAAATCTTCAAAAACGGCCAAACGGCTGAGCATTTGGGTCTGCTTCCTGACAAACGTCCTGCTCTCCGAGTACTTGAGCTGCCTGTCTCACTTCGTTCAACGCGCCTTTGTTCAGCTTGCTTCCCTCCTTTGGCGCCCCCTCATCCTTGACCCTCTGATTACTCAAAAGTCCCTCCTCCTGAGGGCCCTGTTCCCAGCCTGTCTCCACCACAAAGTTCTCCCGATCAATGTCACAGGAGCGCCAGCCGCTGGCTCTGATGCACCAGGCTGGTGTCCCCTCCCGGGGCCCCGTCATCCACGGTCCCCACTAGGCTAGGCACTTCCGGATTCACGCCTCACCCCAGTCACAGCCTTACTAAACTCTCTGAGGCTGCTGGCTTCTAAAGTCAATGAACGATCCCACCCCTTCCAGCAAAGAATGGGGTTCACCCGTGTTTAGCTTTTCTTACAGGCCTGGCCTCCAGCTTGCCTCTGCACACACACTCAGGGAAGATTTCCCGTTTGCTTACTTCCACATGCAGTGTGACGGACCTTAATTATCTGTAACATGGGAATAATAAGGATATTTCCCTCATTGGGCAGTGCTAAGGATTTAACTGAGTTAATACATGTCAAGTACTTACAAAGGTATCTGGCATATATAAAGTGCTCTATGAACGTTTGTTGAGGAAAGTCACATAAAACTCCTGCTCCGGGAACATTCTAGACCAGCAGACCTGCTGCCCACAAGTTCAGAGAGAGCCCTCCCTCCCGCCGTGCCCTCAGCCCCTCGGGTTTCCAGGCCTACCTTGCGTTTCCTCTTGGATTTTGGCAAAGCCTTTTCTGCGGGCGCATCGGATGCGTGGCTCGGGGGGGCGCTTTCAGTGTCCTTGGCCGCGGGAGCGCTCAAGACCCCCGGCTCCTGGGGCAGGTGTTCTGGGATCCTGGACAGGAGGGTCAGGTCAATTTTGACCCAGAGTGACCGGACCTCGTCACTGTCCTTCAACGGGGAGAGAAGTTCATTGCGGCCGAAGGGGACCAGCGTGTAGAACTGCTCTTCCAGCTCCTTGGCTATGTCGCTGGTGGTCCTGGCGTTGATAGAGCCCACAGGGGCCCGCGGGCCTCCACCGCTGATGCTGCTGGCAGCCTCCTTCAGCCTCGGGTCGTTCCCGGAGGCGGCAGTGGCCTTGGACAGAGGGTAGTCCTCTTGCTCTGACTCCAGGTCCGAGTCCGCAGAGGAGGACGACGAGGACGACTCGGTCTCGATGAACTCCTTGGATTTGGGGACGATCCGGCTCAGGCCCCGCGTGCGGCGCTTCTCGCCGGTTACGGCCGAGCGCAGCTCCTTGCGGTGGCTGGTCCTACTGTTGCTGCAGGGCCGGGGCTTGGGGGGCTCCGGGGGTATCCCCGCGCTCGCCCCCAGCGCGTCCGCGGCTGCGGGCTCCTCGGGCCGGTGGCCACTGTCGCCGGCCGAGGTCCTCTCGGTGCGCCGCGTGGGTTTCTTGCCCGCGGACCTCCGGGCAGGCGCGGGCGCGCTCTCGGCGGGCGCACCAGCCACCGTGGGCGGCGGGGCGGCGGCGGTCACGGCCACGGCCACGGCCGCGGGCGGGGACTTCTGCTTCACCCCTTTGCTCCCCGGGGCCTTGTTCGCGGTCCTCGGCCTCTGCTCCTCCTTGCAGGCGCTCTTGATGTCCTTGTCTCTCAGGCTGGTCGGGCAGACGTTGTCGGGAACCTTCCCGCAGTCTGGCACTTCGTCCTTCACCGGGGTGTAGTATTGATTGCTCTCCGGCCCGTGGCTTTCATTTTGGATCAGGATAGGAGGCTTGTGGGGATTAACTTTGTTTAGCCATTTATCCAGCTGCCACTTGTTAGAGGACGCTGGTTCGGCCTAAAAGCAGAAAACCAGCAACAAACAAAATATCTTTTATGATGGGCTCACTTTAAAGGGGCCTGGCTGTTTTCCTCTTGACTTAGGGCAGAATATGGATGGGCTGGAGACACAAGGAACATGGAAGCTGTAGGTGTGTGTAGCATCAATGGGCACACAAGATGCAGAGATGCTGTCCGCTTCCTGGTCCCCGGCACTGAAATGCCAGTGCAGCAGTTTGAGGCCTATTTGGAAAATAAGGGGATGCACTATGCTTCATTAGGACCCATTTCTAACATTTTTGAGGGTTATACAATGTATATATTTTTATATTTATACAGACATACATAAACTTGAGAGTCCACAAAAGTTAACTGGGGTATAGTTTGGAGACCCTGAGGTATTAAAGCACTCATTTTTTGTGAGACTTAAAATATGGGGGGGCCGGGATTAGAAAAGGGGACTGAGTGGAAACTAAACTCCCAAAGAACTACCTGTGTGTGCCCAGTGCACTTTGATGGCTGGACTTGGTTCGTCCATCCTCAACCTGCATCCATCACACTTTGCCCGAAATATTTCAGATGAGGAGGTGACAATGGAAACCTTTCCTGCAAGCAGTTTTGCTACCTTAAAGCAAATCCTGGACATTTTAAAACTCTGGCCCATAGATTAGCTCCGGCGGCGGGGCGGGGGGACTTGGGGAAGGCAGATCAGTGAATGCCCTGTAACAGAATGTGAAACGTTATGTAGATGCATTTTTCGAGGAGAGAGACATAGCTTTCATTCATATCTCTAGGCAGCTATGTCTTATTCAAAGGTTAAGAACTGATGCTTTTACAGGGAGTAAATGTTGTTGATTTCTAATAAAAGTCCATTTATCCAGCATCTGTGATTATTAATAGAAAAAAGGTACATTGGTAAGTATAGAACTTTAGCTAGAGTATTATCAATTTGTGAATATATGTGAAATGGGGAAAATTTTTGAAGTGATCAAGGTGATGTATTTTTCCTTCCCTATGGTCTCTACCCTACGAATTCATGGCTTCTGATGATCCAGGGGAAGACTAAATACCAGCCTAAAATAAAGAATCGGCTTAGCTTTGCACTTCCAACTTGGTTGGTTAAAGCCCAGAGCAAGTCAGGCGCCCTTGTAGGAGAAAACCACTGTTTTTTAACGTAATAATTTCCCAAAGCTTGCTTTCACGTATCAAGATTTGGTTTTCAACAGTGAGGTTGGTATTAAGAGCAGAACTTGGGGCATAGCCACATGCAGCAAGGATCTTGGGGGAGGGGAGGGCAGTGTATTAGACCCAAGGGTCCTGGCTGAGTCTGGAGGCGTCTGGGGTACAGCTTAGGGAGATGGGAAGCCTTTAATGGGCCAGCAGGGCCTGGGGCCAAGATGAAGTGGCCACAGAGTGTGGGCACCAGGCACTGGAGCTGTGGCTGGGACCATGGACATCCTGCTGGTTCCCCCAAAACAGATGAGACTGTCTACACTTCAGGGAACCACAGCGCAGGGTGTCCAGGGACTGGGAATGACAAGAGACATTTCAGTGGAGGCCAGCATGGGGATTCCAGGCCCTTTCCTTGGCACCCTGAGGAAGGGGAGCCTCCCCCTGGGATACAGGTGTGGAAGGGGAATCTCTCATGACCCTGATAGGGAGTCTGGTGTCTGACTTAACTTTCTGCTTCGTTTGCTTTCATGCCATCCAAAGGACCAGGGCTCCCAAGCAAGAGGCAAAAGAACAAAATGATACATCTTTTTTTGCACGTCTGAGGTGTCCTGTGTAAATTCTGACCTCACTGTAATTTAGCTTCTCCAGAGACAGGGAACAATGGAACCTGCAGAGCACACCTGACCTGGTCCATCCTGCAACAGTGACGCAAGAGAGGAAGCAGGGCAGCAGGACCTCTTCTTTGCCAAGGGGAAGCTCTCGCCTGCCCTGAGATTAGCCGGGTGTGGTTGAAGGCTACTTTGGTGGCAAACACAGCTATGGCTCTGAGGCTGTCTCCTCCCCACCCCATTTCTCTCGGACCACCGGCGAGTCAGTGACTTCTGCGCCTCAGCTTCCCCAGATAAATGGGGCCCAGTAATATGAGTGGACGCTGAAGCGGCCTTGCAGAAGGGGACACACACGGGGAGAGGGTGGACCATTTATGGCAGAGCCTGCCACTCACACTGGCCCCAGCACCACATCTCACGCTAGCTCGCCCTCATCCCCAGTATCCTGGGCCTCCCACACCTCACATCTCTTATGTGGGAGAACACAGACGCGTGCCTGGAGCCAAAACACAGCGGCTCACGGGGAGACTCCCACTAAAACTTCCTGGAGGGAGCCTTAACAGTGAAGGGAGAACTGAAGCACTTGAGTGTGGCCCCACTGCCTGATGTGCTCTAGGGTCATTTTTTCTGCTCTTCACAGCTGAAGAAATGAGGCTGAAGGACCATTTTCAAAACATCACTAAATCACATTCTCTTCCTCAAAGGATCTACAAGGGCCTCCTCTTGCCCCTCGAACAAAAATCCAAATTCCTCAGGCATCCATCATCTAACAGCCATCTTTCCTTGCCAGAACACCTACAATGTGCTCCCACTTTGTAGGTATCATCTAACTGAATCCATACAGGTAAGAAATACTGTAGCCCCTAGTTTGTAGATGGGGCTCAGAGAGGTTAAGTGAAATGTCCAAAGCTGCAGAGCTACCAGGCACCACCAAGGCTAAACCACATTTGTCTGGGCTTAAAGACCAGATTCTCTCCCCTGCTGCCTTGCCAGTCTCCCATTACTCTCTGGTGTAGCCTCACGAAAGAGGGACCTCGTTTCTTTTGAGAAATGTCAGTCTTCAACCTAAAATGATAGAATTAGATTGATTTTTGGAGACACCACTAACTCTCCAAATAACACCTGTGGCCTTCTGTTATCCTGAACTGCATCATCTTTTGATGTCCATAGCCATTTCATGTACGTAAATCTTGTGTCTTCAACAAAGCCAAACACTGCTTTCCAGCAGGGGCCCGGTCTCTGCTTCTTTGTATCCCTTGCAGGACCCGTAATAGGTTAGGGGGACAGCATGCTATGACTCTGCTCCTACTAATAATGACTCACAATGAGCTGTCACTCCATTTGTATCACTTATTCCTCAGAACAACGTCACAGACTAGACGGCATGGGATTATCCGCCATTTCGGGGATGAAACAATTGTGGCCAAGGAAGCTCAAACAGCCAAGAATTAGGTGGCAGGGGAGGAGGGTGAACGCAGGGCTTGGGGTTCCTTTCCTGCCACGCTGCTGGCTCTGGTCCATTTCCTGAGCTGTCCATCAGGGTTTCTGCCCAGTGCATTTGATTGTTTCCTGGCTTGCTGCTCCGTATTTCCATCCAGGACTCTCCTCTCGGATAAATCTTCCCTCTGATTAGTGTATAAGCCCTCCACCATGTACGTTAGTCTCCACTTCATCTATACCCTTCAGAGCACCCACTGCCACATACCCCACAGATGCCTAATTAAGGAGAAGCCTGTTGAATCAATGAATAACTTGTATCGTGTACCTGCTGATTTTCAAGAACAAACTAGGGCAGCATTTTCCAAAATGTGCTTTGAGTTCATATATCCCATAAAGAAAAGTTTCCGTGGTCAGATACATTTGGGAAATGCCACAGTGGAGAACACCGTTTACATGAGCAAAATTAAGGGCTGAATGACGCCCTACGCTAAATAAACAGGTGAAACCTACTTTATTCTGGATCTCCTCAAAATCCCGTGACCAGGCTCTTTCTAGTCCCTGCAGCATCCTTTACTTGGGGAACGCCGGTCTAAGGAGCTCTGTGTGCTGGTGTAAACGTGCTAACTGAAGGGCAAGGCGCTTCCCCCTGTGAAGCTCTGGCATGAAAGGATGTCCCAGGCCAGGAAAGAAGATACAACTCAAATGAAAACAATTAGGCTGAGGACAAGCAAGCAAACGTCAGGGGATCTGCAGTGATGGAAATACTGTTTCCGGGGTCTCTTCCATGCTAGCCTGCAGTCAAGGGGTTATACTATGGTGATTCATGTGAAATGCAGTGGCTTTCTACAGCCATGGCCATAAACAACAGCTCGTATGAAACTCAGGAGAGCCAAGTGGGTGTCCAGGGCTGGACGCTGAGGGGGAGAATGCCGGTGTCTTGGGATATCATGAGGGTCTCCTGCTTTCACATCAGGATATTTCCAGGAAGGAAAGGAGGGCCACAAATGTTCTGCTGCAAAGCAGCGTAAACAGGTCTTCACAACGGAATGTGAGGTGTGTGGCTATAAAGAGCTGGATTGTCCTGTGGGGGGGAAGGAAAAGGGGTCTCACTGCTCTCTTTAAGGGGTCCTGGGCCAGCTTGGCCAGAAGAAAGCAGAGATGCCGTGGAGACTCAGCAGGTAATGCTTCCCCTCTTCGCGACTTTCATTCTGCAAACTCACTGTATTTCTTTTCTAATTTTTTATTTTTTATTTATTTTTTAATTTTTGGCCATGCCACACGGCTTCTGGGATCTTAGCTCCCCGACCAGGGATCACACCCGCGCCCTTGGCAGTGAAAATGCGGAGTCCCAACCACTGGACCACCAGGGAATTCCCTCGTATTTCTGAAGGGCGTGTCTCTCTAGTCACCCTGGGAAAAATGTTAAAAGAAACCTTACTTTTATTCCAAGGAATACACTCCTTTCCAGCAGAAAGAAGTCACCTGCAGTGTGGCTACATCTCTTGTCACTCCTGCACTCCCTCTGCATAGAGAAGCCAGGAGTTGAAAGCTCCACGGGGCCTCAGGCAACTTAAACTTTGAGGCCTGTGTTACCAGACTCCCCTCCTTCTCCTCAGCCAGGGGCCTCTGGTAGCTGCTGGAAGAAGCAAGAAACAGCAAGTGCTTCCTTTCATCACCCAGGAGTTCAGGTCTTTGTAATTATCTCAGTGACATTTAGAGAGAATCTGCTTAAAGCCGTTTATAGCTGTAGTTCTCCGAGGCTGCTTTCAGCCTCACCTAGAAACTCCAGGAGTCACATTTCAGCGTGCAAATGAGACTCAACTTTCCTGAACTTAACCTTCAAAGTCACAAAGAGCCTGGGGTGGAGGTAACATTCACAGACCCTAACGCTTTTAATCTACCGCCACTGTCCCCCCTGGCTCTTGCGATGTCCCTGGAACCCAGTTCTTTCTACTAAATATTCTGGAGTTTTCCAACAAATTAGAGCATAAAGCTGGCTCTGAAGAAGCCCGGGTAACGCCTCTGTTTTATTTAACTCCTGTATTTTTGTTTGTTTCAAATTACTCCCATTAGAATATCAGCTCTGTGAAGCCAGGAACCTTCTCTGTCAGCTCATTGCTGTCTCTCAGGGCCAAGCATCATATCTGCGGCAGAGACTCAATAGATCTTCGTTGAAGGAACACTAAATGAGCGAATGAAGGGATGAATGAATGAAATGATGACGAAGGAAAAATAATTTAGCTTCTGGGAAAAGTCAGGATTATACCAAGATACGGCTTTTATAGGTTAATGTTGCTAAGGGCCTTCCCCTTAAATAGGGAGATAGGGATAGAAAGATAGATAGGGAAAGGGAGAGAGACAGAGAGAGACAGAGACACAGGTACACAAGCTGGAAACATGGGTCTTGCTGGCCCTTAAAGGTGCTCCTGGGGACTTCCCTGGGGGTCCAATGTTTAAGACTCCACACTTCCACTTCAGGGGTCACAGGTTCGATCCCTGGTCAGGGAACTAAGATCTGCACGCATTGCCGTGTGGCCAAAAAAAAAAAAAAAAAACCCCCCACTCCCAGGGCCGCCATTTGGGGTTTGGGTTTTTTTTTTTTTTTTTTTTTTACCATATGTCCCAGCAATTCCCAGTGGAATTGCTGGGTCATATGGTAGTTCTATTTTTAGTTTTCTGAGAAACCTCCATACTGTTTTCCACAGTAGCTGCACCATCTTCCCGGACCGGGGCACGAACCCGCATCCCCTGCATCGGCAGGCGGACTCTCAACCACTGTGCCACCAGGGAAGCCCTTGGTTTCATTTTAGAGCATATTTAGAAATTTGGGCCCAGAGTGGTACAGAAGGTTGTAGGTAAAAAGTTAAATCCTATGAGGGCTTCCCTGGTGGTGCAGTGGTTGAGAGCCCGCCTGCCAATGCAGGGGACGCGGGTTCGTGCCCTGGTCTGGGAAGATCCCACATGCCACGGAGCGGCTGCGCCCGTGAGCCATGGCCGCTGGGCCTGCGCGTCCGGAGCCTGTGCTCTGCAGAGGGAGAGGCCACAGCAGTGAGAGGCCCGCGTACCGCAAAAACGAACTAATAAATAAAATTAAAAAAAGTTAAATCCTATGAGCCACAGTAACATCAAATGTTTATACACTCAAGAAGAAGCATATTTTATTCCCTCTTTAGAAATCAAAGTCTACCCTTACAGATCCAGGGACTAGAGAAGTGTACTCTCAGCCCTCTCTCAAGAATCCATGCTCTGAATTACTATTAAATTTTCCCCTTTTTCCCCTTTAAGGCAGAAGTTGCAATGGCTTTTATTGGGACCTTATAATATTTTTATACGAGGCACCTAAATCTTCCACACAGATACTCATCATAGCTATAAAAGTTTTCATTAGTATTTGTAAGTTGATGCTAATTTTCCTTTTTATATTTTCACAAAGAAAACAAAGGAGGTTTTATTCATATTTATAGCCCTTGTTCTCCTAATCTGTGATGAACTGAAGAAAGGTAAGATCCTAACCATGTTTAATCCACAAAACTCCTTTCCCCGTGATTTACGGGGGCTCCACTTCCAGGCGGGGAGCTGCCCTGTCTGCTTATTGCCTCGGCTGACCCTTAGGGAGACCCGATCCTCAGGTTATTTCCAGTCAGTGATGTTTACAGCATACTTGGAAAGTTCTGGAAGTCAAGATAGAGAATTTTGGGACCATAAGAGATGAAGTTTCTAGACTTCAAAGGAAGCTCTGTGATTAGGAGCGCTGTGAGGAGGGGCTGGGGGAAATGAGCCTAAACCAACCCCGGCAGGCTGCCAGGAGGTGGTGGCCTAGAGAGGTCACGGCGCCTCACAGGCCAGTGTCATAGCACTGAGGCTGGAGGAGCAGGAGGTGTGAGAACCACACTCGGAGGAAGACTGACCTTGCTCACCGGGTCGGGGAGAAGCAGGCAGGGGAGGCGCTCAGAGGCCAGCGTGTCCTTACCTCAGGGCTGGAGTAGTGGGGAGGCTTGCTGCCCTCACTCTCGCTGGAGCTGCTCTCGGTCTCTGAGTCAGATCCCGAGCTGCTCTCCGAGTCACTGGAGGAACTGCTGCCGCTGCTGCTGCTGCCGCTGCTGCTGCCCTTGCTGGAGGGCACGGAGGCCCTGCAGTTGGCCTGCGGGAGGCTGGCACTGTCAGCCCACGAGGCCCCGGGAAGGAAAGGGGAGGAAAGCCAAGTGAGCAAACACGCATACACCACCGAGCGAGCTGTTGTTCCACCAGCCTGCGCATCTGTCAGCGTCACCTGAAGCTCCAGAGCCACCGTCAAGGTCAAAGCAGCCTCACAGTTAAAACAATGGATGCACAGAAATTAAATTGGGAGTGAGAGTCGGTGCCACTTGGTAATCAGGCACTCGTCAGTGTGACTAGTCTGTGTGATCATTTTAGAGGGGAAGGTGGTGTAACTGCAGAAGGACTGTTTCTGTTTTGCTCCTATATCTGGGAATGGCTTTTCAAATGCATTCCCGATTCCAGTCACCGACAAAAAGGCAAGGAAATCTAAAATGCTTGAAATATTTTGTAAAGAACGAAAATGTCTGTTTGCTTCATTTTAGGAAGTGGGCTGTGAGGAAGGGCACAGTGTCCTGCTCTGTGCTCTCACGGCCTGCTGGAAGGTTCTGGAGACGGCGGGACCGACAAAGTTGTCTTGCTTCCCACCTCTTCCTGCCCACAGAGTCGAGTCCTGTAGTCTTTACAGGAGCCGGCTTGCTGTATAAACAGTAATTTTCCTTTGAGCCCTTTATTAAAGAACTGAAGATCCCTCACTCACGCATTTTTAAATATTCTAGACTTTAAAATTCAACCCCAGTACAGTGGCTTATAGCAATACTATTTTGAATTATACTCGATGTTCGTATCCCTGCTGAAATTTGCCAGAAAGTTACATACTCAAATTATAGACTCAAAGAGAACAGGAAACATGGACACTTCTCATGGTAATTAATTAACCACAAAAATTCAAATCACACACATCCACCCCAACAGTGAGCCAAAAAGAAAGTTTCAATACTCACATAATAGTCAACATCTTCAAAGTCCTTTATTAATTGCATTGAAACACACCTGACTTTTTTCGAGGTCAAACTCTAAACCCAGAAAATGCAGTGACCACTTTTTAAATGTCGAGTCAGCAAATATCTGCTTGCCACTTCCAGCTGGGACCACTGCGTCAACAGGATGAATGCGAGTGAAGGCCCAGGGCTGAGGGAGCTTGTCAGAGAGTTTACGGTCTCAAGTGCAAATCAGCCAGGACAAGGTAAAAGACCCTTTTCACCCGCCCCTTAAATCTTTGACAAATGCTTTGCTCAAGGACAGAGTCTCATAAATCCTCAGTGTTGGGGCAGGGATGGGGGGGGGATGTTTAAAACTCACTGGAACCTTGCTTCTCCCAGAGGAATGATAAGACAAGAAACTATCTTACAGGATGTACCTGAAAGTCAAAGCACTGTTTTGAACTGCAGGCTTAGGGAAAAATGGAGTTTGAACATAACCTTCCCTAGTGGTTTTTATTTCTTCTGCCAATGTCATGGTCCATACCTACTGTCTGACAAAATTCTTCAACGTCAGACAACATCCGCACCTTTACGCCTTGCCTGAGCTGCAACAATTCCTTTCCCAGCCTGCTGTTAGTTCTGGTGTTGAGTGAGGGATCCTGGATCTTTTTACAGAGGCTGGGAGGGGACGGTTAGTGATCAAAGGGTTGTAATATTTCTTTCTTCCCTTATGAACTAAAATCCATCTTTCCTGGCAGCTGAGTCGACATGGCTACTATCAATGGAGTCATTAAAAAAAAAAAAAAAAAGAAGGCTATTAGACTGTGACTGAACACGAACGGCTGGGATCCATGTTAACAGTGTGTCAGGAAGTCCCCCAAACACTGGGGAAAAACTCCAAAAACAAACAGACAAAAACCCACCCCAGCCCAAACAAACCAACCAAAACGTAAAAACACCCCAGAGCCAAACAAAACATGGTGGAGGAAAGAGATCTGTCTCCCTGCCACACCCTGGAATGACATTTGCTGAAGACTAGGAAATTAGAGAAATAAAGAGCATTTTGATTGGTTTTATATCATGGTCAAAGGCTTTGATCACCAAGCGGTACATTCTCCCGCTTTCATTCCGACAACAGAGGACACTGGAGCCACTGCTGTGTGCACCTGGTTGCTGTGTTTGCGGCAGAGGCAGCAAATGTGTGTGCAGTTCCCTGGGGCTTGCACCTCAAAGTGACTGTCTTTTAAAAAGCTGCACTTTAATTTCTGGGAAAACGTCCGTTAAACAGTTCCTGTGCCGCCTTCCTTTTCTGACTGCTGTCCTATCGTAATGAGACCCACTAGCCCAGCGAGACAGAGTCTCTGATCTGAATTAGATTGGCAGAAAAGCCTTAGAGTTTTATGTTTTCCTTCCTTAAATTAGGAAATTGACTTAAAACGACAGTTTTACTGGCGTAATTATTATTTGTTTTTGAAACCGTCGGGAGAGCCAAGAATTTCAGGTTTTCTTCCTGCTTTGCTTTGAAGCGCTGTGAGGCCCCAGTCCTCTGGAGTCAGGGCTGAGTACATTCACGTTTCAATGGTCCCGGTGGAGACAGTGTCGCTGGAAGCAATCCACGTCAAGGATGGGGGCAGGCTTGTGTGCAAGGGCTCTGGTGGCTCCAGTTGTGGGATCAAGATAACTACCCCTACCTGCAGAAAGCCTGCTCCATTAACTAGCCTTTTTGTGGGTCTCTGGGGGACAGCTGGTCATTCAGGACTCAGCACAATGACTGCTCTCGCCATGAGCGCGTGCAGTTGCTTTGCCTCTGCTGGGGGAGCTGCAGCAGCCAGGGTGGCAGAATAAAGAAGCCGGGGATGGTCATCACTGCAGATGAGAACTAACAGAAGGATGGGCTCAGTTAAGCCAGGAAGGCTCTTTGGAGTCATGGAATCAAGAAGATGGAAAAAGACATATCAAACAGACCCTCCTGAAAGAAGACTTTAAGCTTTATATATTTAAAATTGCAAAGTTTGGTGTGCTTACTAGTTGTCATGTTTCCATACCAAAGATGCTAACAATTCTTTCAACTTAATTTAAAAAGCAACTTTTTTCTGAAATGATAACATGGATTGATTGACATGAGGACACAGCATTGGACAATTTTTAGGAGAGCTCTTGGACCCTCTGCTATTTGAGGAACATGGTGCCACTGAAAACATGTGGGCATGAAAACATCATTGAGGTCAATGGAATAAAAGCCTTTGTGTCACCAAACTTAGCACAGTGCCTGGGAATAATAGGTATTCACCTGTGATTACCAAATGAAAGAATCAATGGAAAAAAAGTCTATCACTAGGTTAATGAGTTAAAGGAAAAAGGATTTAACCTTTCAAAAAGGTTACAATCTCTCTTTTCTAATAAAAAAACACTTAAGGGGATTTCAGCCCCTCTTGTGCTTTTCCAATGTTAACACCACTTCCTTGCACAGAATGTCTTTAAATGTACTCTAAATTTCATCTGCTATATAATATGAGCCCAGTTCTCCCCTGGATGGTTTATTTACTTCTGGTATTTTGATTTCATGAAATGTTTTGCTGGTTTTGTGAGTGGCCAAGACCAAATACACATTTGGGAGAGTCCCAGCTTTATTCTAAATTATCTGCTTGCTGTGTCCCCTCCTTTGGCTGCAGTGACACATTCTTTTCTGAATCTGGCCTGGGCTGAATCTGAATACAGACAGTAAAAGAAGAGATCTGGAACCTAAATGCCTGCATCTTACAGGTATGGGTGCTCCTGCCAAGTATATTGTGGGGTCTGGGTAAATATCCAAAGTTGTTCACGAGCTTTGAACTAACAAGGAACTTGGAGGCAGGCTCTGTGCCTAGTGGGCACTGTGTGGATGGCCGTGATGCCCAACAGCCTGTGGGCATGCCACTGGGATGGACGAAAGGTTAATAATTTAGAAGAGGTCCCAGCTCCTTCTCATTCAACACTCCGGATGAACTCAACACATGCTTGATTTCTAAACTGTAATCGGTGCCATGGCAATGGTGTTCCTTTATTGTTGGCATCTCTATTGATATGAACTGATCTAAAATTATAATCACATAATGAGACATGAAAATGGTTTTCCTTTATTGTTGGCATCTCTATTGATATGAACTGATCTAAAATTATAATCACATAATGAGACATGAAAATGGAAAGCTGGCACAAGGAGGTTCGCTGATAGGACTGTTGGTCTTGTACTAAAAGTTTCTGTTAGCTCTGTAATACCTCCAGGAACAAGTCTTCTATCAAACATAGCTTTTGAAGCTCTTCATGGTCTGGCCTCAATCAAATCTTCAGCCACATCTCATAGGGTGCACCCCCAAACCTTGTCTATAATAAATTTCTCACCGTTTTGACAACCTGTGTGCCTCTGCATGCACTATTTTCTATGCTACGAAGCCCTCTCTCCCTTTCTTCTTCTGGGTACCTCCAACTCACTCTTCAGGACTTGGTTGCAAATATTACCCTATTCTGTAAAGTTTTTCTCAATTCCCCCAGGAATAGTTAATATTTCCTCCCCTGAGCCCCTTAGCACATCACCTATTTTTCTTTTGTAGCCCTTATCATACTAAGGATAGGAATTATCTACTTTATCCTTGTATCCCCAGTGCTAGCAGGGGGTGTGGCATGAACAGGCTGTCAACAATGTTCAACGGAATGAATGAAAGAAAAATGATTCTTGACATAGTAAGTCAATGCATTTTATTATACTATGAAATAGGCTATGAGATGTTCATATATTCACATATGTAGTCTTTCTGTTGCCTTGGGGCTGCCAAAGATTTCATAAAACAGATGACTTGGAGAGCTACTATCTATATCACTGGTTGAAAATCCAAAACCTACAGGGGTCAGGCAAGTAGCATAAATGAGTGAAGTGTCCAGTTATAAGAGAAACAAATGCCTAACACACGATGATAAAGACAGTGGACCCTTGGCTCCCCAGTGGGAAAGTGTCAAGCTGGATAGTCCTGACTGGTCTACTGTTTCCCCAGGCCAGAGGATCTCTGCCACGTGGAAATGAGAGCCAGTGTTAACAAATCCTTCAGTTTTTTTTTTTCAGAGGAAGTCCCAAATCCTGATGTTTATATCAAATCTCCTGATTT